CAAACAAAGTCTAATAAAATAAAAATAAAAATGCAAACTAAAGAAAAAAGATCTTACAGTGGAAGAGTGGTGTTCCACTGTGTGTCAAAATGAATACACAGAGATTTGAGCAAACAAAGTCTAATAAAATAAAAATAAAAATGCAAACTAAAGAAAAAGATCTTACAGTGGAAGAGTAGTGTTCCACTGTGTGTCAAAATGAATACACAGAGATTTACCCAAATATCTTTACTTGCAAATTTTAACTTCAAATGAGTCATTGGTGTGGTTCCAGATCTCTGGCTTCTGCTACATTATCAATACTGAATCTGCACCTGGCCTTCTCTCAGGTATCCTGTTGCTGACCTGTGTCTTTCAGATAATGAAGCTGTGATTCTTTAAAGAAAGCATCTTCAAGCAATCCAAGAGTTCTTAACTGGGTAGATGTTGGGGTAGGCCAACATAAGCTCCAGATCTGAGACTGGATAGTGCTGAGTTTGTTCAGCTTGCCTGCTTTACTGCACCTGCACCACCGGGGCCCCCTTTCTTGCTTTGTCAGTTGATATACAGAGCCAGCTCACCCACTCTCATACATTCCAGGCCAGCTCTGCCATACTACACAGGGGAGGGGCAGGACCAGATCTCCAGCCTATGCCCTAGCCCATGCCACCAGGGCCAGCTAGTATGTTGCCCCAGTGAGGTGTAGTCCTGCTCTGCCAAGTGTTACAGTTAGCAAGGGCCAGGGCCATGTCTTTTGCTTTGTTTCATTATATCATGTTTTTTTTTTTCCTGTTTAGCTGTTGTTACTTGGAGACCTGCTCTTCTCTGAAGAGGAAACAGACTGTGACTGGATGTGGGAGATAGGGGAGGTGGGAAGAAGCTAGGGTGATTGGAGGGGAACTATGGTCAGGATATATTGTGGGCGAGAAGAATCAGGGTTTTGTTTATTTATTTTTGTTTGTTTGTATTATTTTCTTTTTTTAAAGGAATCAATATTGAGTTTCTCTGTGAACCAGTGTTTTCTATTTTTTATTTGTTGGAATAATTTTCTTCCTGTAATCACAATATCACAGATGTTACTGTGGGAATGTAAACAATCTTAATCAGCCAAGATTCTATCATGGTGAACCTACTCAAGTGGATAGCTCTTCATTATTTTGTTATTTTTTTTCTGTTTTTGTTTGTTTGTTTTGGATTTTTATTTTATTTTATTTTATTTTATTTTATTTAGATAACACTTTTTCATTTATATTACTCATTGACCACAGTCCCTCAGTTGTCAGTCCCCATCACTCCACCCCTCCAGTGCTCCTCTCCATTTCCATTCTGAAAGGGGCAGTTCTCTCATGGGTTTGAACAAAGCATGGCACATCATGTTAAAGCAGGACCAAGCTCCTTCCCTTGTGTCAAGGTTGGGTGAGATAATCCAGCATTAGGAACAGGTTACAAAAAACCACCAAGCACCAGAGACAGGTCCTGATCTCTCTGCTAAAATCCCTTACAGACAGACCACAACTGTCACCCACATGCCTAGGTCAGTCTCATGCAGGCTCCCTATGGCTTTGGAGGCCATGGGCCCCCGGGGGGGGGGGGGGTAGCACACCTCCTCCTCCCTATCTTCAGCAAGACTCCAGGAGCTCCTCATTGTATATGGACAAGTCTTTGGTATTAGAAGTTCTCATAGTGTCCCTGTCTTCTACTTTATAGAGGCTTGTGATGACACCCAAGTCTTGCCTAACTAAGCCTGTATTCATATCATAGATTATTGGGAAAATAACACCATATAGAGAAGTTATACCGACTAGAAGATTAATTATAGGATGTAATTGACATTTCAGAGTTCATCTCAGAAACCACACAGCCTTCAAAACTGGTAGAGAGATGGAATGACAACAAAAAAGAAAGTAAGTCTTGTGATTGTCTTGATTCTTTTTAATATATTATACAAATCACAATTTATTCTGGCAAAATATTGGAGGACTTTATTTTCTTGATAATTCATATAGAGATACTCATTACTCTCTGGCAAGTAAGTCAAAGATGCTTGTGTATTCATTTTGGAAATACTCCCAAGCATTGTAGCATTGTTCAGCTCCCAGTTTTTCAGCACCACCCCCAAACTATAAAAGAACATTCCCTATGTTCAGGAACTGCTACCTTGGGAATTGTTTCTGTACCTTTCTACACCAAAGCTCCTTGAAAAGAAAGCTAATTACAGGCTTTGATAAACATCTGGGCAAAAACTATCTTTATGCCGCCTTTAAAAGCTTGATTTTTAATTATTATCATTATGAACAGATGGCATAAATAACTTTAATCAAACTTATAAAGCAACATTTGTTATAATCACTGAATATCTTGAAACAATGAAAGAATTTTCCTTTGTATTTGCTTTAACAAAAATATAAATAGAAGAGATTATTATTAATTCAGTGAATTTTTTATTTTAGGAGTGAAATTGCTACAATTGACAAAAAGCAATAGCTGATGTAGAACTTCATTGAGTCCAGTAACTTGAATTTGAGCTGTAATATCTTGAAAATTTGATGTATCACTAGCAAAATGTCAATACACAAACGAATTCAGGAATTTAATCACTTGGCTTATATTTTGAATACAACATTTTAATACAGATATAAGTTTAAGCAAACACCTCTCCTGAAGACTCAGGAATATATGCTGATGAAGAAGTGGAAAGATTGTAATAGCCAGAAATGATGGAATACTTCAAAGAAACAGGGTCTTCAGAACTCATCAGGGTTAGTAACATATGGACTCACAAAGACTCTGGCAGCACACACAAGACCAACAGATGCAAGCCAGATAGGGTCACAGCACTGGCAGGGAAAACAGAGAAAGGAACTGCAGAGTTGTGGGTATAGTGAGGTGGGGAAGAGGGGAGGTCTGAGAGGAGGTTTGAGAGGAAAATCATGATAATAATATACTGTATAAAATTGTCAATAACAAAGACAATCCAGGAAACAAAACCAAATATATGATAAGTTTAATAATTTGTATATTAAACGATATTAGATAAAGTTGAGAATCACTATGCTGTGGTATTGAGAGTAGCTGTCGATGCTTCAGTACTTTGGTTTTTATGTTTATAATTCTAGGTACTTTTCCTAAATTATATTTGACATAAATTGTGGTATGTTAAAACCATTATTTTTTGGAAATTGTTTAGGGATAAAGTCTAAAAAAATTTCTATTTTATGAAGCCCAATATTCTTAAATGTCAAAGTTTTAGTATCTAAACCACAAAGTATCTAGTTCAAAAAAATGGAAAATTCCATTTTCAATTAATTTCAAAGAAAAAGTGAAATACTGCTGGTTGTCTAGCCCTAATACCCACTGTTTTAAATGGCATACATTTGGAATCTGAGGCATATTCAACTTTATTTTCCACTCCTACTTGAAATTATGACTGATTTTTCCTTTGACTAAATATTGACAAAAAGAAGCAATAGTAAGTTTTGCCATGATAGAGACACTAACCTGGACCAGTTTTTTTCTTCACAAAAACATACTAAACTCACTCTTCTTTGAACACATGGAATACAGCTACAGAGCAACAAACTAATGAATAACATAATCTGTGAAAGTGCCATGGGCATCAATAATTTCCCCAACTAGTCATGATATTTTTTAAATTTTAGAATTTTTCATTATTCAAATAAAGAACATTGTTGTAAAATGCATGAGATGAAGAGGAAATGCATTGTTTAATCTTAGAGAGATGGCTCTAGAGAAGATCCACTGTAGTATGATGGGGTTGTCCTTCTGTATATGTTTATCTTATTGGTTGATGAATAAAACACTGTTGGCCAAGAGAGCAGCAAGATAGGTGGGGAGTAAGAGATGAGGAAGATTCTGGGAAATGTAGGCAGGGGCAGTCGAGATGTAGGGTGCCAGAGGAGTAAGAGATACCCGGACCTTTCTCAGGTAACATAAGACCACATGGAAATACATAGATTAATAGAAATGGGTTAGTAATTAAGACAGAGATAGCCAATAAGAAACCCAAGCCAATGGCCAGCAGTATTATAATTAATAGAGAGTTTGTGTGTTCCACTGACACAGCTGTTGAACCAGGTTGGCAGGAAAGAGCACCCATAATAGTAGTAGTCAAATTCAACATATTTTAAATATTTACTTCTGAGTTTGGTACTATATATTTTTCCTGTTATGTTCCATGTAACCAAAGGAGTAAAACCACAATAAAAGGAGTAAACTTAGTTTTGTTTTCAGTACATTCATTTAATTGGTTTTCATTAGAACCTTAAATTCTTTGTATTTAAATGACCTATCCTATTTCTTTCATGATTAAAATCAAGATGGATCTCTCAAGCTTTAGTAGAGCTTCATAAAAAAATGAATGAAGATGACATTTCTCAAGTACCAATTGTTTCCACCCATTAAAATGTTTAACCTTATAGTAATGTAAAACTGGAAAAATTGTAAACTCTCAAAAATGCCTCAAAGTCCAAAGGAATAGGGAACGAGCTCTTTAAGGCTCAAATACAATATGGAAACTTCTCAGGAGAAAAAAAAAATCTTTGCATTGAGCCAGCTCACCAGAAAACAGATAATTCAATTACCTTATGAAATAGTACTATAAACTATTCATGGATACAACTATTTAAGATCAAGCTCCTGAAAATAACTCAATGCTATTTTGAATACTTTTATCAATTACTTCTGCTTTTAGTTCTCTCATTTTTAGCTGTAAGATGGGCTTTCCATTATAGCCTAGTATGGATTCACACTCATTGCAGACCTTGTGATTGAAGTTTTAGTGTGCTGTATTCAGCATGACTCATCATGCCTAGTTTATCTCCTGCTTTTATTACCCCTAGTTCATAATGGAACTTTAGCTAAGTTGCATCATTATTTTCTTTTATCAAAAATATTGGTGCAAATCAACTGTTGTATTGTAATAGTTGAACATATTTTCCTAAAGCTTTATTAGTGAGTTTTTATGCTGTTCTTCATGCTTAGATGAGAATAGCTACATTTCCTTATAATATGAATGGAATTATTGCTGATTTCCTATGCACATATAAGTTGAATTTCTTCTTATATATCTTATGTTTCTTCCGTGCCCACAAAGACATCTGGATACTCATTAAAATTGTAAAAATGCCAACTGAAAGAGAAAAATATTACATTGATATATTACTGTAATGAAAAAATGAGTAATATTTAAAAAATAAAAATAATTTATAAGAGAAATATTTCCCAAATGCTGCATAATTCCCTATTTGTTGTTTAGAATAATACATTCACAAAAATTACTTGAAGGATAAAATTTTTAAAAAATCTATAAAACTCCTTATATAATTCCTTCTCACTAAATTTCCAAAAAGAAATCACGTTTCCAATAAACTTCTATATATATATACATATTTACACAGATTGTATGTATGTATACATACCAATTAATTATAACTCATAACTGATGAATAGAACAATCAATGGCATTGGTATTACATATATTTCTTTCTCACTCAGGTGATCCAACTTTCCTTTTTACATTAAAACATGAACTTTTCAAAAGTTTGCAATCAGCATTCTCCTGACCACCATTTACAGATGTATACACACAGAAAAGGTAGTTTTAAGGGAACTACAAATCAATATTATACTTCCATTGTATTGTCAAACTCGAATTAAATGTTATTTATAATATGCATAATAAGAGATAATGTTTCAGTACTTAAATAATAAAAAACTCTATCAAAATGAAAATGTATATGTAATATATTATTGCAAGTAGTTCTACATTAGTGGGAGAGTAATTCATTCTCAGATGTAATTTCTCCTAAAGTTATTCTTATGTTGATTAACTGTCACAAATATTAAGATTACCTGGAAGTGTTTGTGTCATGACTGTGAAACTAATCCAGGATCTAATCTGTTAATATAAAATCGCAACGTTAACAGACACCTGTGCTTCATGTAGATATTAAATAACTTGTGTTCTTAAGTAATTTAAAAGCTCAAAACATTATAAAATTGATGGCTACAAAGAAATTATAATGTAACTTTTATATGAAAGCCATAGTCACAAATAATCATGTTATTCATAATAGAAAAGAGCATTGTTTTAAAATGTTTGCATTTCTCAAAATTCTAATGTATCCATGCTATGCTATATAGAGTTTACAAATTCCTTAAGTGTACATATATTTATGTAAAATTAATATAACTGTCAATATCTTAGAAAATATCATTCTGCATATTGCATAAAATATATTTAAAGCTCAAAGCTGTGCATTCATTATATAGAGAGAGAGAGTACAGTTCAGTAATTTGCTCATGTAAACACCATACCTCATAAGTGTAGTTAGGACAGGAAACCAGGAAAAACAGCCATGTAAAGGGGTTATAATTTGGACTTGGGAAACAGGCATTGCTCCCTTTTAAGAAAGAGAAAAAATGTCAATTATAATTTGTAAATGATATAATACACTTATCAAGTATTAGCAAGCTCTTGAGTACAATCATCTAACACATGAAATGTCATCTATTCATAGCAAACTATTTCATAAATATCCGAGAAGATCCATAGTTTCGAATGCTATAACATTTTGACTCAGAAGGAATATCTCTCAGTTTTTAAATATTTCTACATCTATGTTGCTGTAAAATTGTGGGATGCAAAAGTCTAAACAATTATTTAAAGAATTAAATGACATGTAATAATTATTCTGCATAACACAACACCTATAACAATGTTATATTCATAAATTATAAAAAATGATTTGCTAATTCCATGGTTTTTACATCTTCTTTTAGTGCCAAAGAATAATTGTTTGAGATTATAAATACCTTATACCTCACTGTTAAATTAGTGAATATCAAAAGGGAATTGTATAAGGATGTCATTTATATAAAATGAATCTAAAAGTATCTTGACAGTTATCCTGAATCAGTATAGTTAATATTGAGAAATGCCACACAAATTATTTTGGCTAAGGAATCAAAAATGTTATTTACAACTTTCATTATATTTAGCACATCATCACTTGAATTTCATTAATTTTTTTCAAGTAAATATTTCCACAGAACATTGTGGAAATTAAATTTGTAATGATTTCATGTTGAACTTTGAGCTGTGACACTTGTAAAAGAAAATATGAATTAGAAAATTACTGTTTTATTCTCTGCAGCAAAATTTAATCAGAAAACAAATCATCCAATCTCATTTAGTTACAACTGTAAAGTCATAATAAAATGTCAGTGTGCTATGTCCAAAAATATAACTATGGTTGAAATATCAAGATTAAAAATATATGAAATAGCATGCAGATCTCATTATTGCTCTTTATGACAAAGAAGACCCTATATCGCTGGTTCTCTTAAAATAGTAGCTCTCAACCTGTCGAGTTTGTGTTGAGTGACCCTATCACAGGGGTCACTTAATGCGCTGTCAGAAAACACAAATGCTTGTATGTTATGATTCATAACAGTAGCAAAATTACAGTTATGAAGTAGCAACCAAAATAATTTATGGTTGGGGGCTCCCACAACATGGGGAACTAACTGTATTAAAGGGTTGGCATTAAGAAAGTTGAGAATCTCTATCTTAGAACATTTATGCAAACATATTGTGTAAGGCCCTTAGAATAGTGAAGAGAAAGGTTTTAGGATTACTTCTAAGGTAAGTTACCAAGACAGGTAAAAGATACACATGAGATAATCTGGGATAAACCTCTAATTAATGAATATTTAGCCCCTGGGCATTGAACATTAATCAATTGTTCATAACCCCACATTCATGTTTACTATTTGAATATTAAATGATTACCATATCTTATAAACAAAACATAATAATATTGGCAATGATGTTTAAATGTATATCGTTGTTGTTGGTTATAATAATAGGCAAGTGTAGGTAGTACTAATTTTATACATTCTCGATAATTGCTTTCCCAAGTTATACTTATTATCATTGATTTTCTACTAAAGGAATATAGGAATTGTGTGTGTGTGTGTGTGTGTGTGTGTGTGTGTGTGTGTGTGTGTGTGTGTTTCAAATTTTCTTCATATGTCTATCACTCTCAATTTTATTTCTTGAGATGGGTTCTCTTCCTGAACTTGGAGTTTGCCAATTTGAAAAGTTTCTATGGCCAGAAATACCAAGAATCTTCCTGTCCCAGTCTCGCCAAGACTGAATTTAAAGGTATGTATCACCACCTCTAACTTTTAATGTATGTGCCATTAATTAAAAATCACTCCTCATGCTTATTGAGTAAGCACATTACTGAGTGGGCATTTATCCATTCGCTGGATATTAAAATGTTTTAAACAGGAAATGGTGCACCATTGCATTATATAGATTGCTCTTAAGACTGCAAGACTTCATTTACTGTTAACCCATTCAGAAGAATCAACTCTAAGCATGCCTTCTGAGAATTTTTTGTTTCAAAATAGAGACCAAGAACAAGATTATGTATTGTTTTTATTAGTATTAACATAGTCTTTGATTAGCATTTTGAATTCATAATTTTTCAGTACAATATTTATTCTTCATTCCAGATTTAGAATGCTGCATATGGTCATTGGAAACATTTATTTAGATATTTATTAAAGTCAATTTTCATGTCATTTTTCTCCATCTGTATAAAATCACTCCCTGGGGAAAAAAAGGAATGAACCTTCTTCCTCGTCTCAACATCTGCATTGCAGAAAACACACCATAAAAAATTTCTCACCAAGTATTTCCAGTGAATCAGACATTAAAATGCTGTTTTTTGAGTTGAGGAACATTCTGAGGAGCCTGCAGTAAGCACTGTATTATACTGAGATAACACAGAATATATTCCTGGTGGTATGAGAAGTAAAAATGTGTAACTATTCACTAGTGATATGCTGGTATTCAATATTGATGGGCAGGGTACTTTGGCATGTTCAATTATATGTAATTTTAGTTAATATACTTAATGTAGTTTAAATATAGTTAATACTACAAGTAATAAATGTAAACTAAATGTAAAATATACATGTTACTAAGGAGGCCTTGTTCGCATGTACAATGTAGCTATTTCCTCTGAATTGAAAATTGTCCTTGTTAGAGACAGAAGGATGTCCATTAGACTCAAGAAATATTCAATCTCCCAAGGCTCCTCCACAAGATGACAGAAACGTTGAACAATTTCTGGGGACAGAAGACCCTTCAAATTGTGCAGGGATATCCAGGACTGAAGAGTTTTGAGTTCATATGTTCTGGAGTGGGCTTTTTACTGATTCTTCTGCTTTGAGTCACACATTGTCCTGTAAGAAACCCTTACTCATGTGCCTGCTTGTTACCCCAATAAATTGTGTTCTCAAGACAGAATTGAGTGAAAAGATCTTTTTGGTTTGTCATGATGCCATATCTGGGATGGACAAATATCTATCATGTCTTCAAGAAAATGTGACATTAGAAAGTTTAGAGTGCTGATCGCCTTCCATGAGAAGGCAGCTATAACCCAAACTCGGACCAGCATTGTATAAGAAGAGCAGTAAAGATCTAAGACAGCACAGCTCCAGTGCAAACAGGGACATCCATGCCAAGGCAATGGCTAAACGTTCTCTATTATCTAGATTTCCTTGAAATCCTGATACTTCAGACATGCCCCAATCATCCTTACTAAATATCAGCATCCTCTTTCTATACTGCAATCTACAGGAAACTACACTAGAAAAGATAAACAGAACAAAAATTGTAAAAGAAGGACAAGAAGTTTGGGGGAAGATGTGATGTAAGATCTTGGGAGTATTCAGAAGGTGGGAATGGATAATTATGTGAAAACATTACACGGTCTATAAGTATAAAAATTTCAAAAGATGAAATTAATTTTTGAAAGATTACCTTCATCTTTCCTTCTAACCTTTGTCAGTAGCAAGGAATGCATCAGTTGGCAGCCTATCTGACATATTTCTAGGTCTGCAGTTTGTGTAACTGTATTACGTATGAAAAACCTTGGAAGAGATGCATGAATATAAAAGAACCAACCTGTGTGATTGGGATGAGCCAATATTGTATTGATGAAATGATTTCCAGCTTCACAAATCTGTAAGATATATTACAGCTTTTCAATTAACAAGAGGGAATGTTCCACTGGGCGGTGGTGCTCCAAGCCTTTAATCCCAGCACTTGTGAGGTAGAGGCAGGCAGACCTCTATGAGTTTGAGACAGGCCTGGTATATAAGAGCTAGTTCCAGGACAGCTTCCAAAGACACAGAGAACCCCTGCCTCAAAACCCCATCCCTGCTCCCCCCACCCCGGCAAAAGAGAGAGAATTTTCCAAAACTAGAAGCTTATACTGTGGTCTTATATTTATCCACCAGTAATTAGTTACAGAGAGATAGAAATTCTGAAGTTAGACTTCACTATGTTGACAACTAGGTTCAAATATCTGTATTAATTTATCAGTGCTATCTGCTTTCATCATGTTTTCTTGGTGGTTTTTGTTTTATCCTGAAATTATTATATATGTTGATAAAAACAGACTTCATAAGAGTATACACTCTCAGTTCATTAACACAAGAACAATGTTTTTAGTGCAAGGATCACAGTTCGATGCTCAGTGAGCTTCAGCTCAGTTTGTGACTGATTAAAATACAGCACAGTATCCAGGGCATAGCATGGTAATGTCTCATTTTCATTATTCATGTTTACAATAATGTCAAATACAGCAAATGAAGCATAACCAAGTACATGGTGAGCAGTTTGGATTCATAAGTAGCAGATAATGTAGCTAAAGATGAAGAAAGGCTAAAACAATTTAAATAGCCTTAGATAATAATACATGTTATATTCTCTAAATGAAGTCAGTGTGACTATTATGGCTAGTAAGTGGAAATTTTGAAGAAGTTTACATTTGAATTGATTTTAAAGTAAATTTGATAATTACTATTTTGTGAGTTGTTAAATCCTCATTAGGTATTTTAGCCCTTTGTTACTTAATGCTAAGTTCATTATTTGACTTAATGATGGTAGAATATTATTTATGTACTCTACTATTTTATTCAGTTGCTTTATGAATGAATATGAATTAGGAACTGAATAGCATACAATACAGAATTGTTATAATAGAGACATCCTTTGTTTGCTGCTCAGTATTATGCCTTCGTCACTAAAACATTGTCATTGTCAAAGAAGGGACTTAGGAAAAGAAAAATTGAGAAATGGCAATCAACAAACTCCAAACAAATGAAGATGAAAATGACTTTTAGATGATATGATGGATGTTTTTTCTTATAAAAAAAACCCATGTTGAGTAATTTCTTTAGTTCCTGGAGGTAATTTTATCTGTAAAAACAAAAATCCAAAAATTCTTTAGACAAGACTTGAAGTCAATGAGAGTTAATTCTTTCAATCTTTTTTAGGAAGATTATTCCATCTTTCACATAAAACACTTACCCTTACAGTGTAATCTAAAGAAACTTGTAGGAATCACAACATTCTGCCTTGTCATTTGAACTGCCCTCACATTTTGCTTGATATTGCTTAATATGATGAATAATTAATGCCAGATAATGTATATTATATCTAATGTTGACACTGAGAAATAGGAAGGGAATCCATTGTGATAATTAAATTGAAATATAAAATCTACTAATGACTTTCAGTGTTCACTGATTTGTTCAGATTTTGATATATTTTCTTCATAAAAACAATGAGGATTGCAAAAATAATTGTAGTTTGTTTCTTTTACCATCATATTCAAATTACTAGAACATTTTCTTTATATATATACTATAGGATATTTTATGTATGAAATTTGTTAATTATGCTGATTTGAAGGATTTAGCTTCAACTTTACATGCTATTGCATGCATGTTCCTTTGAAAATCAAATGCTTTTGATAGCTAAGGTCAGTATTCTACTTTCAATATTCGTAAATGACTTTTCTGATAATTTAGATTAATATGCTCTTAAAATTCTATTTTTACAATTCCTAGTTTATTTACTTGTAGTTTTCAAACCTGTTAGTATATAGTTTAATTTGTAGATAATCCATTAACATGCAATGCTTCAATAAAATTTTTTAAAAGTGGTTTGTTTTTTATAAAAAATGATTAGCCAATGAAATTTTACTATTGAAAATGAATTTAAAAATGATTTTAAATAAGTTTCATATAGTATTTCAATTACATGATATAAATTAAATCCTACTCAACTGTATGAATTTGTTTTATTTGGTTTGACTATTGGAGATCAAATTTTGGTCATTCAATTTTTAGATGGTGTTCCATTTTGGAACTTAATGAATGATTTAAAATTTCCATTTTTGTTTTTTATATTTTTGGTTGTGAGCCTAGCATTTAATGACTGAGCCATCTCTTTATCCCCATTTTTGCTCCTATAATCTACCTCATTACCACAGTTTTTATAATATTTAACTACTTGTAAATCCATAGAATTTTCATAAATTATTATTATGAGTCTTTAATGCCATATATTGACTTTTGAGAAGGCAGATGGGAGGTAACATGCACTGACTGTAGAATAAGTGGTGACCCAAAAGTGACTTGTGAGACTTTTATCCTCATTGACTTTAATATTATGTAGCCTAAAAAAATACAGGTTTTATGTTCACATAGTAGTTATTGATTTGAATTTAAATCGGTGGTTCCCAATCTGTGGATCATGACCCTTTTTGTTGTGGCATATCAGATATCTTGAATATAAGATAATAATTGCATTATGTTTCCTAACAGTAGCGAGATAACAGTTATGAAGTAGCAACAAAATAATTTTATGGTTGGGGATCAACACAGCATGAGGAACTGTATCAAAATGTTATAGTATTAGGAAGGCTGAGAATTCTTGATTTAAATTATGACTTTATCTATTAGTGAGTTTTTTTGTTTTGTTTTGTTTTGCTTTTTTTTTTTTTGGTTTTTCGAGACAGGGTTTCTCTGTGTAGCTTTGGAGCCTATCCTGGCACTCGCTCTGAAGACCAGGCTGGCCTTGAACTCACAGAGATCCACCTGCCTCTGCCTCCTGAGGTCTGGGATTAAAGGCATGTGCCACCAATGCCCGGCTTATTAATGAGTTTTTATAAAACAGTAATTTCAATAAATTAAAAGGCATAAATATAATATCTACTTTTATTTATAATTTTTCAACAGATTATTTAAATTTTTTCATAAGGAAAGACTAAATCCAATTGAAATCATTGGTTTGTATGAACTATATGCATAGAGCCATATGCAATAAAGCAATAGTAGTTTTTTCAGGGCATTTGAGAAGGGATTACAAAACAAATGACTGATATTTAAACTTTAAATTAGAGTTCAGCAAGGAAAACCAGTAAAAAATGCATTTATTCAAATCATAGCATACCCTGAAGATGAAGGCACAGGCTTGTTCTTAGATTTTGCTACATAAGTACATATCAAATTTCGAAAAGCTAATTTCTGGTCTTTCTGGCTTATGCCCATTAATCTCCAGCTCTCTGCTTATATTACAAGCTGTGATATATGAATTTACATATCCTCTTGCCTAATCAAATCTTACCTTTTTATGCTTGAGGCTCTTCTGTGTTTTACAGGAAAATATACTACAAACAGCTTTCCTTTCCAAGAATATTTGCATTTTATGATAACAAGGTGAGAAAATTTAACTGAACAGATAACGAATGTTGATATTAGAGACAGAGCAAATCTAGAGTTATGAGCTATTTGAAGACTGAGTAAACCTCCCTGAAGTTTTGTTTTCTTTCTAGTTTGTTAGTCACTGAAGAAACTAGAATTTAAGGAAAAAATTCTTTGTTAATGAAATGCTGCTTGTTGAAAAGACTGGCAAACCATAGATGCCTTTAAAGAATGAAAGCTAAGGTGGAGTTGAAATGGGATTTAAAAATTTATTGTTATCTATGCAAAGCAGTGTGTTTTGGAATTTTGACTCTTTCCTTTAATTTGTAGCTTCAAATCAGGTTGGTTTTAGAGAATGAAGACTACTGAAAATACAAAAAGATGAATACACAGTGTATTAAAATATTTAGAGCAGATAGAAATAGATGTCAGCTTTGCAAGAAGAGCAATTCTCATATCTATACATTATTTTTCTGAGTCATATCTACTTTTTTCCCCTTCAAGTGTGATTCTTGTACACATTTAAAGATTAAATTTATATTTAAAGTTTGGAAAAGCAGGTAATAAGATACTTCATAGACTACAATATCCATATAGTGAAATCTTCGGCCTAAACTTCAAATACATTTTGTGAACATTTTGTGTAACTTACAAGATTTTTCTTAAGGTTCTATGTATCAAAATTTCAGTAGAAAGAAGGGATAGGGAGCAAAAGACAATTAGAGTAGATAGTAATGCAATGGGCAATCCTTCTCTGAGTGGTCAAGAAACAACTGTGATACCATTAAGCATCCTTTGAATATTGTTTTTACCAGGTAATGGTCTATTCTATATCACAACAGAAGCACATATCAACTTTAAACAACATTTTCTTTTTTAGACTCACTAGTACCTAAAGTAATAAAGAAATATAAACGTTTGCAAACAAAACTTTATGAGAAAAAAATAACACCTGCAATTGAGGAATATGTTTATGATTGAAATAGACATTATTGAATAAATACCATTATTTTCCCTTTGATCATCCTTCATAATAACTAACTGCACTATGTTTTGTTAGTTCACTGAAACATAATTTACAATTATCTGATCTTAAAATGAGTTGTAATTTCTTCACAAATCAAACACACATGCATCATTCATATAAAAATGAAATAATCTCACACGTTTATTCAATTTTATGAATAATATATCATCTTTGACATGTCCAATTACGTAGGTCTTCTGGATTTAGAAGATAAATTCAACCTTGATCAGATCTTCAAGTTTTATATCCTATAATGTTATCTCTTACCTAAAATGGATCTGAGTATAAATTTTTGCAAAATTTAAATCTGCCCTGCAAACATGGGTCATTGTTAAGTATCCCCTAGGTCACCAATTATGTTTTCACTTTCCCCATAGTTATTACTTGCAAGAGGTTAATGAAGACCTATGTCTCATTTGCAGTCTTTCATTTGATGCTAAGTAAAACTATATTCATTTTTTTTTTTACTTTTAGGAATGATTATAAAATATCTCTAAGATTATCTTTGTTTAAAAGCAAAGGTGCTCTTTTCTGTTGGAAATCCACCTTATTCAAGTCTTTAAACATAAAAGATCTCAGTTATCACAAAGTCATTGAATCATTACATAATTGAAATAGAAAATAGTCACATGGTCAGAAATGTGAAATTATAGTCACCATGTTGCTCTCTACAACAGTTGTACGCACTCTATTACTGTTACAATCATTGCATGAATGTGCATTAGCTTCCTGTACTTTACTAATTTTTTCCCAAGATTGTATGTCAGATAGCATTGATGAATGCATATTTATCATGAATAATCAGCAGATGAGTGAATACAAAAACAAATCAGTTGCATGTTTCAAGTTATTAGACTTTTACTTATGTTTTATTATGTATTGACTATAAGATGGTTATATATAAACTTACAATTAACTTTAAATATTAATTTTTGTATGTGTCTTTCATATTTGGTTAGTGGGGAAAATTATTACATGGCTACAGCACATTGGAAAAATGGAATGAATCAAAAACTGTGTGTGATGGAAGTGGTGAAAATCACGGCAAAATGAGATTGTAAACATGGTACAAACAGCAAAGAAGTACAGTGTGAGGAAGAAGAAATATCAGAGCAATTATTAGAGGTGAAACACTAAAACAGCAAGAGAGCCCAAGAGTTGAAATATAAGTTTGTTTTTTTCATGAACTAATTATTCCTCTGCCAAAATTTTCTAAGTGGTTCATAGTCATAAAAACATTCCAAAAATGAAGCCACAAAGATATTCTGCCTGGACCATGTAGACACATGAAAATTAAATGTTTTAATGTACTTAATCATTTTTAAGAAATTCTAAACAAGTGATATTTATAGAGCAAATACAGTTATCCTACTATATGCAAATGCAGTCACTTATAGCATAAACTCCACCATTAATTTTCACAGGAGTAAAACTACTATAAACATATAAATATTTTACTGGACTGATTTATTAAATAAAGAATTTTATGTGCTAGTATCAAACAGTATATAATTCAATGAATAAATATTTTTGCTTACCTGGAATGATGGGGAAGAAAAGGATTGTGAGAACAATTTAGAAATAGCCAGTCCCTGGTTAAATACTATGTGCCACTAACTAAATCAAAAATATGCTAAATCATCCAGGGCCTTTGGAGTTCGGTTCCAAGGTCCTCTTCAAGGTTCAGGTAATACACTACAGGAAGCAAAAGGAACTTGGATATTGGAAAGAAAATGAATTCTCTTCATATGTTGTTCCAAATATCTCTCTTTATTCTTCTGCCTCTATTCTAATTCTCCTGTCCTAATTCTAAATCTTCCCATCTTCCTCTCCACTAGTCTATAAACAGTCATCTTATAGGAGGCTGAATCAATGAAAAAATTACAAGAGTTACCTCTTCTTTGTCAAAAGCATATTCCTAGGATACGCCACAAGGAGCCAAGCTCTTTACCATGGCAACACTAGGGTTCCAAGGTTTCAAGAGTAAGACTGTGTGATCAGAAGGGGGCATAGTGCCCAGTGAAATAAGCTTTGAGGCATAGGTCTTTTATCAATTAAACTTGGAAGGCAAAGAATTGGCATACTTTTCTTGAGGTGCTTTATTTATTATGCTTAGTTAGACACCTGTGAGTCTGACTTTCTGCATATTTATAAAGTTTTAAACTTATGATTTATTTACAAATGTCTTTAATCTAGTTTGAACTTGCTCAGAGGCAAAAGTGGCTAATTGTGTACAGTTAGTCTAAACAAAAGGAACAGACCAGCCTTTTAAGTGTCTATAGTCCTCCATGGGACAACAGATCTACTTATGACACAAGTCCTAGTATATATTCTACATATTAAAATTATACAGTGAAATAAAAGGCCACCTTCCAGACCATCCATAGATATATTCACCCAAAAGACTGAGATGTAAGCAGCACGAGATTACATATACACGTCACATGAGATTACACACTGCAATGTAGGTACTGGGGACACACCAAGCTGCTTCAGCAAAAGTGACCAACATTTTCCAGAGTCAATGATCCTGTAAGCTTTGCTGGACAGTGTTAACCTCCATCAGAGAATCATTCCTCAGGTGGGTTGACATCTGAACACTAGTTGCAACCTGCTATAACTTTCATGACATCCAGCACTAAATCTTTCTTTGTAATGAATTAATAAATTGGTAACAATATTTTTGGTTAACTATCTATTAGACTTATGAAAATAATTACTCTCAGATATTTGTAAATTCATAAATGTTTAGATGATAAGAATCAGGCATCCTAATTTTTTGCTGTTTGCTATATTTCAAATAATTTTGATTATCTGACTGCAGAATTTCTTAGGAATGTTTGACAAGTAATGAGTAAATTACACAAAGATGTTTATGTTTATTCCACTTTATATGTATTTGTGCAAAATATATACACTATGAAATAGATATTTTCAATATATGTTTAAATTCTCTTGAATGAGGCTTTTTCATGTTGTTACTTCTTACAATATTTAGAACATCAGTAACAAATACTATATATTACATACCAGAAAGTTGATAGCAGATACTGTTATTTGTCTGTTTCCAAAAGCTGTGAAGAAGAAAAAGCAGATGAGATATGAACAATCCCCCTTTATTAAGTCATTGTACTGAAGATATTGTATAGACATTATTCCGGGATCCAACAGTCCTCTAATTATAAAGATTTCTAAATGCATTTTAATTCATAATATTATACATTTGAACTATAAAATATTTAAATTTCTTTTGTTTACTTTTGTACTTTTCTTCTTGTATTCTAATACTATTTAGAAAGTGAATGGAACATAAAATTAATATGTATTAATAAGCACATTGAAAGCAGACTTCATCTTGCTAAGTTCTCATTTTCAGCATATATATGATATCATATATATACATATATATGTATATATGTATATATATATATATATCGCAGCAAATAGTAACAACTTGAAATATCATTTTTGTTGTTTAACAATATAATGAAATCAGTATTTATTTCACCATGTACTTCTCATACATATTTTTTAATTGTACAAATTTGAGTGGGCTTTCTAGTCTGTATTGTCGTAAATGCTTCAATTTCATCATAGGTACAAGGGCAAGAGACAAGTGTTTTAATATTTTATTATATTTTAAATATATTTACTTGTATTTTTTTTCATCACACACACACACACACACACACACACACACACACACACACACAGTGGTTTGAAAGAAAAAGGACCTCAAAGGATGTGGCACTCGTGGCACTATTCAGAGATGAGGAAATTTTTGAGGAATTCTTGTCACTTTGGAGATGTGCTTTGAGGTATCATTTATGTTCAAGCCATACCCTGCGTCTCAGACCACTTCGTGTTGCCTGTGCTAGATGTAGAACTGTCAGCTACTACTCCAGCACCGTGTTTGCCTGCATGCCACCATGTATGACCAAGATGATAATAGACTGAACCTCTGAAAAGTAAGGCAACCAATTACATTACAGCTTTATAAGAGTTTCTATGTTTATGATTTCTTTTCACAGTGATAAAAACCCTGAATAAGGCACAAATTGGTTCCAGGGACAGGGGTATTGTTGTGATAAGCATAACTATGTTTCTGTTTGAGCAGTGAGGACTTTGGTACTTTGGTTTAAGAAAGCAGTGGAATACTTTAATCACTGCTTAGTGGGCCATACTAGTGGGGCCTTGAAAGACAATGGTGCTGAGAAAAATATGAACTGTGGTATACTGTCTCCAGGGGTTTCAGAGGAGAAAGATTTTATTATGTTGCCTAGAGATCATTCCTGTGATATTTTGGTGCAGAAAGTGGCTGCCTTTGCACTTGTATGAAGAGTCCTCCTAAGGCTAAAGTGAAGTGCTGAGGATTAGTTCAGTTGGCAGAAGAAATCTCAAAATAGCCTATTAGAGACCCTGTGGTATTGTTGCTAGTGGTAACTATATTGAAGATTTATAATGAAAAAGAGGAAACTGACGTGGGAAACTATGAATGTAAACTTTGAGGAGAAAAGGAGCACTGGGGAATGGAATCACGCTACGTCCTATGTTCAAGGAGAAAAACAGATTGAGAAATAGAATAAAGGGTAATGTGGGAAATTACCAATATGGAGCCAGGTAGAAATATAAGGGATTTTAATAGGGAAAAAGCCTTATTTACAGAGCGACCTCACCAGCTGGTGGGGCAGCAGTCTGTACAGCAAGCCGAAAACAAAACCAAAACCGAAACCAGCCACCTGGCCAAATCTCACTCTACATCACCCTGACCACGGCATGGTCAGGCACACCTTTAGCCAGCCCCTAAGCAGGCATGGCTACAGCTTCCCCTACAAAAGGGAGTGGGGACCTCAGCAGAATATCCCACCTAAATAAAGTTTAAGCTTGTAATAAGGAATCAAAGAAAAACTTAGAGCCAGGTGTGATGGTGCACAGCATTAACTCCAGCACTCCAAAGGCAGAGGCTGGAACAGCTTTGAGTTTGAGGCCAGCCTGGCCTACAGAGAAAGTTCAAGGCCAGCCAAGCTTAGGAAGTGAAAAAAAAATCCATGGAAAACACAAAGTTGGTGAAGGCACAATTAAATGAGGAGGGCATTTTCCAGCACCAGCAAGCAACAGAACTTGGCAGCTTTACCCACATGGTGCTGGCTTTAAGGACAGAGAAAAGGGGGTTACAGAAAGTTTCTCTTTGATTAAGGAAAACAGCTGAGTCCAGGCAAATATTAGAGCTATCCGTGAATAGAGATCACAAGAGGTCTTTGGGTGGAGAAAACTGGATTGCCTGGGAGACTCCAGATGTTCTGGACACTACAGTTGTGGGATACCTGCCAACAAAGGTGCTACCAGGGAATGGGACCAGCCCAAGAGAAAGAGTTTTGCCCCAGTCAACAAAGTTGAAAGGAGTAGGGGATCTGAGGTACACTTTAACATCAGACATGAACATGCAGAGTTTGGAGTTTACCCAGCTGGTTTGGGGTCTTGCTTTGGTACAATATTTCCTTACTATGCTCCCTTCCCTGCATTGTGTGATGGTGATGTATATCCCTGTGCCATTATATGTTGCAAGTATGTGATGTGATGTGTGTGTGTGTGTGTATTTAGATTTTATAGTGGATTACATGTAAGAGTTTACTTGAATTTCAGAACAGAATTTGTACTTTGGAATTTTAAACATTGTTGAAACTGTGATAGACTGTAGGGACTTTAGATGTTTAACTGAAGGTATTTTGCACTAGGATATGGCTAAAAGCCTTTGGAAACCAGGGAGTGAAATGTACTGGTTTGAAAAAAATATCATTTCCCAAAGGAATGGTACTATTAGAATGTACGGCTTTGATGGAGGGGGTATGACTTTGTTGGAGGAAGTGTGGCACTGTGGATGTGTGCTTTGAGGTCTCATTTGTGCTCAAGCCACACCCAGTGTCTCAGATGACTTCCTGGAGTCTATGAAAGATGTAGAACTGTCAGCTACATCTCCAGCCTCCAGCACCATATCTGCCTGCATGTGGCCTGTTGCATCATGATAATGGACAAACCTCTGAACTTTAAGCCATGCAACTAAAGGTTGTCCTCTATAAGAATTACTGTTCTTATGGTGTCTCTTCACAGCAAGAGAAATCCTAAGACAATTGATGAGGGAAGTATTTCTGTGTATGATCTTTTTGGTTGTTGAAAAAAGTCTGTTTGACAAATGAAACAGCAAGTTAGAAAGGACTAGAAGTCAAAGAGGATTCTAGGAAATGTAGTAGAGAAGTGGTGTTCCAGGAAAAAGTGACATAGCAAGGAGACTCATATTTAAGCAAGGAGAAACAGGAAGTGTCCCCTTTCTGCTTCGCTTCCTCCAGTGGTGGGATATGAGCCACTGGCAAGAGAGGGTGCCAGCAAAAGGCATCCTCTATAAGATAAGTCTTATAAAATATACAGATTTATGATACTTAAGACTGAGCTAACAGATGAGAAATCCTAGTCATTGGCCAAGCAGCATTTGAACCTAATACAAGTTTCTGTGTATCAATTTGGGCCCTAACACTGGAGGGTGGCTGGCATAAAGTGCACAAGTGTCGGTGGGGCTCGGCGGCCTTTGGCAGAAAGATTTATCGTAACAGACAATAATAATACACATAGTATACAAAATATATACTATATAGCAATAAATATATGTGATATGCTATGTGTGTGTATGTTTAGAATGTTTACATATACACATAGCCTAGGGTTTATTTAGTGCTACTTGCATGCACATGTGTTTTTGGCTGACAACTTGGAGAATATCAGGGGATTGATTCACTCCTGGGGAAAACTGATTGTTCCTTTCTTAGCAACCATAATAACTCAGTGGCTATACTTTCTTTGTAACTTTTTTTTATCACTTTGCTATGTTTATATATAAAGCAACATATATATATATATATATATTCCTAGAGAAAAAATATCCATATCTGCCAAATTTAGTTTTATAAGCCTACATGAAAATTTAATAAATTATGGTATGGAAGAAATTGAAAATTGGTATTTTTATTAATTTTTAAGTAGAAGATATTCAATTTTTATGGAACTAAGAGTTGAACATGGATCCAGGTGGTCTTGGCACAAATCTTTAATCCCAGCACTCACAAGCAGAGGCAGACAGACCTGTAAGTTCAAGACAAGCCTGGGATACAGAGTAATTTCCAGGACAGGCTCCAAAGCCACACAGAGAAACACTGTCTTGAAATATGCCACCCCCAACAAAAGAGTTGAACATGAATATTGATAATTTAGCATGGGGTTAGTTAAGAAGAAATCATACGTACATGGTGGTGTATATCTTGGGTGATTAATATAATAAGCAATCCAAGAAGTGAATCCCCAATAAAATGCACACCCCTACAAATAAAACAAGACAAAATAGAAGTTATAGAAATTATACAATATAAAATACATTACTTTAACATACCTGTACATTTACATGCATAATTTAGTATTTCAAAATGACTTTCATTGACTTAGTTCTTCGAAAATTTCTTACCTGTATGAAGTGCAACAGCTTAGTTTATCCCCTCATGCTAGTAATCTCTCTCCTACACACATTACATGTTATTTTGCATGCCACTCCCCTTCCCTTCCCATGCCTATATCCTTTTGTTTTCATTTGTTTGTTTTGTTCTTTCTTTTTGGAGAATGACAGAGATTAATTATTGTCACTCTGTGGGTACCAAACTCAAAAAAATGATTGCCTTTCTCCAGAATCAACCAACAGTCATAGGAATTCATTCATGATACTGTATACCTGGTCAAAAAACAGCACCTTAGAAATTCTTCAGCCCTCCAGGTGAATTTAATATAGATTTTAGCTAAATTGTAATGGGGCAATGCTTATTTCTAAACACCTGTGTTTCTGCCCTTAGACAAATGCTATGCCCTTACTCAGAAAAGCTACTTTTTAATATGAATGCTAGAGACACAAGGACATGATTGGCTTATTTCTGAACAGCACATTTATAGCATGCCCTCTAAGTCTTAGAGACTATCTCTGAATTGGAGGCATTGGGAACGTAAGAGCCTGAAGGCAGGAAGTCTGTGTGATGCCATTTTCTGCTCATGGTACAGACAATGAAGGAATGTCCTCACAGATCGTGGACTGCCTATGATGGACTTGAAACACTCCTGAGCCTCACAGATCAGTTATGGACTCACAGGACCTAGCCTCTCCCACAGAACTACTAGTTTTTGCAACATATTTTTATAAAGTGTCTAAACTGAATACATGGAATGCCTCTTCCCCTCATAAGCCAGAATTTAAAGCCTTTAAGCAGCACTGAATAAACATACTTAGTTCCATGTTTTTGTTTTTTATATTAATGAGTATTTGACACAACATTCAAATATAGGTTTAAATTTTACAATTATTTATTGAGAATGATTTATTTCACCAAGATATTAATGAACTAGAGAAATAATCTATAGCAAATATTAACACTAAATAAAACAATGTTCATAATAATTTTAATACTAACATATGTTGATTGATTATAAAAGAAAGTTCCAGATTTTGTCAAAAAGGTTAAGCCCCACTTCCTACACTGTTACAAATTGATCGTTCACAAAGGAGACTATCTAACCATTATAGAATTGACTGTTATTGAAACAATAGAAAAAATAAAACAACTGTGTTGTAGATATTCCATGAAAGGAGATTTTTTTGTAAGAGTATAGCATTTTAAAATTAAACTTTCAGTAGAAAGATAAGGTACAATTGAACTTTAAATAAAAACTTGAATTGTGTTTCCTAATGTCCATTTTTAATGTACTGTTGGAAAATTTTCCCATTTCTTAATAGTTTCTTGACACTTATTGATTTTCATTTTTTCACATGTCAGATTCCTGCATCACTCTGGCAACTATAATAACCACATGCTACTATGTGGGTTTCTTCAAAAATGATTTAAGGAATCTGACTCAATGTACACAATGAACACTTTCCCATGCATGATATACTTGTAACTTATGCTCCTAGAGAGTCTTTCCCTACAGATGAACTAAGATTAATATTCAAATAAAACCCATAGGAAATCTCTGATATATGCAAACACAACTAAGGAAGGAAATCCTAATTTTAAGGAAAAGGTGACTATCATAGAGAAGATAGTCCTGTTTATCGTTCTTTGTTTTCAACTTGACAAAAGCTAGAGCTATCTGGGTAGAGGGAACAGAACTGATAAAATGCCTCTATAATATTTGAATGTAGGCAAGCATGAATGACAGTTCCTTAATGAGTGACTGATGTTTAAACCCAGACCGTTATGGATGATGGTTTTCCTGTGTAAGTGGTCCTTCCTGCATAAGATAGAAGGCTGTACAAACCAGACATAGCAAAACAGCGAGCAGCATTCCTCCATGGCTTCTGCTGCTCCAGTTCCTGTCTCCAGGCCTTCCCTTCGAGATGGACTTACAAAGAGAAGGTGAATTAAACTCTTTTCTCCCCAAGTTGCTTTGGGTCACAGTGGGATACACCCACCCAATAGGAATTGAAACCCTAACACAATAATGCAGTGTATCATTATTTATTATTTTTCTCAGTAAAAATAAAAACTAAAATATATTTTAAATCTCACCTTTATCAAGTTTTTTGTAGGACTGTGTCCTGCAGAAACTTTATGGACAAATAAAGTTTCCAGAAGGTGTCTGATGTAGTGGATACAATGGCAGAAGCAAGCCAAGCTGAAAAATAAAGAAATTAACAACTAAATCACTTTCCAGAAGCTTCCTTGTCATATTGCAAGGAGCTATGGCATTGGCTTGACCTAGCTTCCTTGAGAGGCATGCTTCATAGGATTTCCAGGTTAGAGTCAAAGGATCCTGGGACAGGACATGCCTTCCAGTTCCTGAGAGACCAATGCATTCCATCAAAAAGTGAAAGGTTCAGGCCACTTTATATTTCTCTGTTTGACCAAGAGAAGTAGTGAAGGAAGCAGAGAATCTTGACAGGACAATTGGTCTTAGACATTAATCTTGTTTACCATGTATGACTTCCAAACTTCACCATATCCTGGCAACTACAACTCTACTAATTCTGGTAATTGCCATTATATTCTGTTTCAGATGAAGGCATAAAAAGTGGGATTACTCTCAATAAAATTGCCACAGCTTCAGTTGTGTTGTAGCCCCTTTAAGTAGCCTGATTATATTTCTTGAGGCCATATCATGTGACCTTAGCCCCATAAGTAAGAACAGCTGCTTACACCATATTATGAGACTTCTACAAGGTTAGATATGTTTTAAGTTTCTTGACAAGTATATATTTTATGCTGAGCACATGCTTTACCACACCCACTCCTCTCTAGTTTCTTGCCCTTCTCTATCATATTAAATACTTGTGCCTGCAGTGTTACTTCTTTTTACATGTCATGTATGTATCCATACTTTTATATATCTTCATAGATTCTAGCAAATATTTTAATTTTTGAGGTATATATCACAATTGTCTCACTTAGGACATCTTATTTAATGTTAATTAACCTTAGCTGTTTACTTGTTTTCTTTTTCTAAAAAAAATCCAATTTTATTTAATAACTAAAGTAAACTAGTACAAAGCTCACTTCTGATGATACTGAAAATATATCAATCATAAATTTTTTGTACCCATATGCGCTAGCAGGAGAAACAAAAATAATAATTGACAATGTATTCACAATAAACTGCCTGGAGATTGAAGCAGAAAATGAACAGCTTTAAAAATAACCAATTTTTTTTTTAGCGCAGCTGACATTTTGAAATACTCAAAATTAATTTTAATTGTTTGGTTGTCCTTTAGCAATTACTATGAGATTGAGAAGGTCTGAATTCCGTTTTCTATGCTATCATAAAGCATCTTTTATTGAATTAGTTTTCTCTAGCTCACATATTGCCACATTTGTCTCTTCATAAGATTCTTTCCTTTGTAGTTTAAGGCTCCTCCTCATGTGATTTTATATAAATTATACTTTGAAAGTAGATGTCAAATGATTTGTTGAGGCAAATTTCCCTGGACATAATTAAAATGATTTATTCTATACTAATATATTTAACTAATTTATTGTAAGGTAAAATATAAAAATGTTTAAAAACTGATTGTTCTTAAAAATCTTCAATATATAGATGGATCAAAAATAATATACTTTAAGCAATTGGGTGGAGTAAACATTTTAAGACATTTTTCTATTTAAGACATTTATTTCATTTTTCAGAGCAAGAGCTTTTTAAAAAAATAAACAGATATACTGGGTATAATGGTGACAGTAATGAAAATAAAACATAAAGTAAGCATGACAAATTACTAAGTATCAGTTTATAATGCCTGGCAAAATTCCCTCCTATTTTCTGGGCCTTCAGACCAATTAGTAGGCTGATGGTACTCCCCAAGATATAAGTGCTACTAATATGCACTTGAGTAAATTTTGCCAACTGGTCATGAAAGTGGTTTGTAAGTTTTGCAGCTGGATTTGACTATTGATGGCTTTTCTCCCTGGGCATCTTACTCACTTGCTTCCATTACAATGATAGCAGGTCCTCAGGGACTAGATTTCCAGGGCAATCCCACCTGGTTTACTCCAAGTACTATGTCCAAAGTCTGTGCTGTAGTCTGCAATATGAGCTTGAATTAAAGATGTTTGAGGCATCCAAGGACAAGCATAACAGCTTGTATTAATTTTGCAATTTCTTTGATTCTTCTGATTAACACATCAACAGAAACACGTTCTTATTCTTAAATGAGTTATTTTGAGATGGCATGACTTTGAATCATGCAAAATGTTTCATCAATCTCAGATAATTGCTCAATGAAATTATTTGTGGAAACAATATTTTTGTGCTTTGGAAAATATGCAGTATAGATGTATTTGTTACCAAGAATTATCAAACATGCTGTTTGTGTTTAAGAATAGTAATCACTGTCATTCATCGTCTAAGCTATGCTGTATATTCAATATAGGCTAGAAATTAGCCTTAAGTTAGAAGTGTCATTACTTTCTCCTTCCAAGGTCCTCAACTCACTCTCTAAATGAATTAGACATTCTATTTAATTTAAGAAAAATGAAGAGGATTTAATTCCAAAGCATTCTTGACAAGCCTGTCACTACTGAGAAGCAATTTCTTGTTGTTCCTCTGTGAATTACTATATTAGACATTATGTTTCTGCAGTGTATTAAACAACTTTATATCACAGATTACTTTCATGTGAACAGTTGTCAGATTAACTAGTTGAAATATGACCCATTAATTACCCAAGGTGAAATAAGCATCTATGTGATGGGTTCATCTAGCAAACTATTCAAATTATTTCAATGAGCCATATATATTCAATGAGCCCTATAGGTTATGCCATGTCAACAGTTTACTGCATCTATTGTGGAAGTTAAAACCAATTGAGGGAAAAAGTTATCAAAATGATCATAGTATTAGTTGAAAATAAGAAATTGTTTAAAAGCAAGTCAAACTAATAAGATATATGGAAGTCATTGGAATGATTGTTCTGAGTGAGAAAAATTTGACACCATGTTTGAATATAGTTAACTGAGAAGACAGAGGGAATGAGAATTGAGAATGATATTGTAGAACAAGTTGTGTGAAGTGCAGTGGAAATTCAGGACAAGAAGTCCTCAGCATGACTGTAGCTCAACATCTATGCTGAAATGAAAAGGTCAGGGTTAAATTGGTTATTTTTCCTAAAGTGTCCAGAGGACCCCAGTGTTATTTCTTAATTCACTTGGGATGTTTGTAATTCGTGGACTTGGGAGCTCAGTTTTCTTGTTTTTCCTTTTATAATATATAATAAAGTATTTTGCATAATTATATCCCCTTTTTTAATATGCATGTTTTCTGAGAAGCATGGTAATAGACCTGGAGGAAGAATAAAGAATGCAATATTTTCATACAAGGCTAGCTACCACAGTTACATAGCCTAATTTATTTTATTTATTATTATTACTATTATTATTATTATTATTATTATTATTATTATTATTTTGGTTTTCTAAGACAGGGTTTCTCTGTGTAGCTTTGGAGCCTGTCCTGGCACTCACTCTGGAGACCAGGCTGGCCTTGAACTCGGAGAGATACACCTGCCTCTATCTCTGGAGTACTGGGATTAAAGGTATGTGCCACCAACATCCAGATCATAGCATATTTTAATACATGTCCTATTACTAACAAAAAATCAATCACATTTCAGTACTACTTAATTCATGGTTTAAATTTAATAAAATATCCTGTAAAACTTTCCCCAGTGTTAGGTCTTTCTTATTTACCTATGTAACATTGTGAGTTTTTCTATCAACTTTATAGTTTTAAGTGTGTTTTCCTTTTGCTGAATTGCCTGGCAATTATTGATTGTTGTTTGCTATTGTTTGCTAACCCTAAGTGAAGTACACTTTGTTATGATAAATCTTTCTGCCAAAAGCCGCTAAACCCCACTGCCACATGTGTGCTTTATGCCAGCCGCCTGCCTGAGTTAGGGCCCAAATGAATACACAGAGAGACTTGTATTAGGTACAAAGCTGCGTGGCCAAGGACTAGGATTCTCATCTGCGAGCTCAGGCTTAATTATCATAAATCTATATATTTTATAAGACTTATCTTATCAGACGCCTTATTGGCATCCCTCCTTGCTGGTGGATCACATTGTGCCATTGGAAAAGGAGTGGAGGGGAAAAGAGAGACACTTCCTGTTTCTCCTTCTTTAAATATGAGTCTCCTTGCTATGTCACTTCCTGCCTGGATCACCACTTCTGCACTACATTTCCCAGAATCCTCTTTGACCCCTGGTCCTGCCTAACTTGCCGTTTCATTGGCCAAGCAGAACTTTATTAAACAATCAATAAGATAAACATATACAGAAGTACTTCCCCCATCAACACTTAGCTGTTGATGACATTAAAAATGCAAACTATTGTTTTTTTTATCATTAACTAAAATTCATTGTTCTACAATTAAATCTTTTTTCCCCCCAGTGGAAATTTCAGCCAGTATTTACTAGGATGGTAGTCACTTGCTGAGGAAATTCCTTTATTTAAGGAAATATGACTTAAGATTGCTCAAGTTTATTATAATTTGAAAGACTTAATTCACTTTAATTTTTTCTGTATGTGGTAATCACAGCTGGAATTTGACACCTCTGAACAGAGACTCTGGAATTGATTTTCACAGTTGGTCAGTGAATTCATAATAAGGAGATTTGGTGAATTTGGTCTCTTTCCAGAGATCTGTGGTCAAATAGTTGGTGGTCTTGAAGACATCAATAGTGGCCCTGGCAAAGTTGCCCAGATTAGCAGTGCAACCCCTGGCTGATTTTTAGTAGTCATCAATACCAGCCATTAACAACAGCTTCTTGGACACAGCAACAGAGATGGTGACAGAGCCTCTGTGGGCAGGGCCCAGTACAGAAAGACTGTGACTGGTCACCCTTCATGGAATGGGATAGGATTTTCCTTTCTTGTTCCCATGCTTACCTCTCTTAACAGGGATGGTAGAAAGATTTGCCAAGATAGTGGCTGCTCGGATGGCAGTATCTACATTCCTACTTGGCATAAAGGAAATATTCATTATTGTACATTATAATTAATAACAAATTATCAGACTTGGGAAATTCTGTAATTTGACTGGAATGTAGTGCTAGCATGGTGGCATTTATTTCTAATAAAATGCTAATCTCACCATGAAAAAAAAGTTAGATTAACTTTAACTTCTGGTGCCTTTATTTGACAATGTAATTGTGGAGAAGCAGTCTCATCATAATTAAGGATGCATCTGTCACACTTTGTATTCCCATGTGTCACTTACTGTACCACAGGGTGTCGAGGCCGTTGAGAGCTCTCTTTCACATCATATATGTATGAGCTCCTCAAGTAGAAAAGAAGGTATATTAGTAGAGGTCCTGTGTATTCAGCCAAAAAGACCTATAAGTAGAAAGTAGATTTAGAATTTTAAAGAAGTTTTATAAATATTTTAAGAATTAGCTATATTGATAATATTTCATCAAATACATGAGCTGATGAACTATGTACTATCTTGAAAATAAGCTAGATAACTGCTGCAAATGTATCTTTCTCAGAAGAATCTATTTAGAGTTAAGAAAATAGATAATGTAGAGATAAGTTTTAAAATGATTTTAAACAACTAACTTATTGTAATAAATTTGCCAATGCAAGCATCCACAGTTAAATTAATATAGCTACTCAAAAAACAGTTGCCAAGTACCAAACCCTATGAATGTCAATGAACTTCTATCTCATTATAATAGTTATTCTGAGCCAGTGAATTTCACTGAAGGGTTCACATTTTCACTATTTTTATACTTTTAGATACTTACCAACCACACACATACACACAAAGAAAAACCCACAAAAAGTGACATATTTGAAACTAGAAAAACAATTAGCTTTGTTATTGTTATCCTTTGTTATTATTATCCTTTGATTTTGTACTGAGTAACAGACTTTACTGGAAATAGACCAAAATCATTTTATCTGATTGAGTAAATTATTTTAAATATACTTTTATTTTTTGCTCCAACCATTCCATATTCTATATGAAGTGTCCCTCTAACTGAAAAGAACATCACTATAATATCTATTTTTCCACTTCTCATACATTTATTGCCAAATATTTCCTTCAGTAACCCAATCATCTTGACTAGAATTAAAATTAAAAGATGAAGCCTTGTCTATATTTATGCTATACCTTGTGATACTTGGATTTAACTGTCAACTAGACATAATCTGAATTACTTCAGAACAGAAACATTTTTTCTCAATTTTTTATTGAATTTAGAAACAAGATTGTTTTACATGTCAATCCCAGTTCCCTCTCCCTCCTATCCTCCTCCGCCCCCCACTAACACCCTAACTATCCCATACCATTTCTACTCCCCAGGGAGTATGATACCTTCTATGGAGGTCTTTTTTGATCCATTTGGACTTAAGTTTTAGGCATCGTGATAGACATGGATCTATCTGCAGTTTTCTACATGCCAGCATCCAGTTATGCCAGCACCATTTGTTCTAGATGCTTTCTTCATTCCATTGTATATATTTAAATTAAGTGGTCATAGGTGTGTGGATTAATATCAGGGTTTTCAACTGGATTCCATTGGTCTACCTGTCTATTTTTGTGCCAATACCAAACTATTTTGAGAATTATATCTCTATAATAGAGCTTGAAGTCAGGAATGGTGATGCCTCCAGAAGTTCCTTTATTGTACAGGCTTGTTTTGGCTATTGGGTCTTGTGTTTCTCCATATAAAGTTGAATATTGTTCTTTCAAGGTCTGTGAAGTATTGTGCTAGTATTTTGATGGGGATTGCATTGATCTGTAGATAGCTTTTGGCAAGATTGCCATTTTAATTATGTTCATCCTGCCTAAACAAGACCATGGGAGATCTTTCCATTTTCTGGTATATTCTTTAGTTTCTTTCTTTAAAGACTCAAACTTCTTGCTATACACATCTTTCACTTGTTTGGTTAGTGTTACCCCAAGATATTTTATGTTGTTTGTGGCAATTGTAAATGGTTATGTTTCTCAGATTTTCTTTCTCAGCCCTCTTATAGTCCATACATAGTAGGGCTACTGATTTTTTTTTGAGTTAATCTTGTATCCTGCCACTTTGCTGAAGATGTTTATCAGCTGTAGGAGCTCCTTGGTAGAGTTTTTGGGTCACTTATCTAAACTATCATATCATCTGCAAATAGTGAAAGTTTCACTTCTTCCTTTCCAAATTATATCCTTTCCAATTTATACCCTTTGAACTCCTGTTGTGGTCTTATTGCTCTAGCTAGAACTTCAAGGACAATATTAAGAGATATGGAGGGAGTGGGCAGCCTTGTCTTGTTCCTGATTTTAGAGGAACCAGATTGAGTTCCTCTCCATTTAGTTTGATGTTGGCTGTTGATTTACTGGATGTTGTTTTTATTGTGTTCAGGTATGTTCCTGTTATCTCTTCCAGGACCTTTATCATGAATTCATGTTGGATTTTGTCAAAGGCTTTTTCAGCATCTAATAAAATCATTATGTGATTTTTCTTTTTCAGTTTGTTTATATGGTGGATTACATTGGTAGATTTTCATATGTTGAACCAACTCTGCATCCTAGGGACAAAACCTCCATGATCATGGTAGATAATTTTTCTGATATTTTGTTGGATTCAGTTTGCCAGTATTTTATTGAGTATTTTTGCATCAAATTTTTTGAGGGATATTGGTCTGTAGTTCTCTTTCTTAGTTGTGTGTTTGTGTAGCTTCAGTACCAAGGTAATTGTAGCCTTGTAAAAAGAGTTTGGCAATGTACCTTCTGCTTCTATTTTGTGGAACAATTTGAGGAGTATTGGTATTAGATTTGAATATCCAATAGAATTGCACTGAAGCCATCTGGCCCTGTGCTTTTTTTGGTTGGGAGACTTTTGATAACTATTTCTATTTCCTTATGGGTTCTAGGTCTGTTTAAGTTGCTTATCTGTTCTTGATTCAATTTTGGTAAGTGATATTCGTCCAGAAAATTGTCCATTTCCTTTACATTTTCAAATTTTGTGGAGTACAGGTTTTCAAAGTATGACCTGACAATTCTCTGGATTTCCTCAGGTTCCATAATTATGTCAATGATCATTTTCCTTTGCTGCTCTTATTATTCTTTCTCTCTTCTGTATGTTTGGTGTTTTAATTATTATGTGACGAGGGGAGTTTTTTGTGGTCCACTCTATTTGGTGTTCTGTAGGCTGGTTTTACTTTCATTGGCATGTCTTTCTTTAGATTGGGAAAGTTTTCTTCTATGATTTTGTTGAATATGTTTTCTGCACCTTTGAGTTGGGTTTCTTCACCTTCTTTTATACCCATTAGTCTTAGATTTGTCCTTTTCACAGTGTCCCATATTTCCTGGATATATTGTGTTAGAGATTTGTTAGACTTAAGATTTTCTTTGGTTGATGAATCTATTTCTCCTCATGTATCTTCAATGCCTGAGATTCTTTCTTCCATCTCTTGTATTATGTTGATTATGCTTGCATCTGTAGTTCCTGATTGTTTCTTCATCTTTTCTAATTCCAGCATTCCCTCAGACTGGATTTTTTTTGTCTCTGTCTTGGCTTTCAAATCTTGCACTGTTGGAATTGTTTCTTGCAATTTCCGGTTTGTCTTTTCTTCCATTTCTTTGAAGGATTTTCTCATGTCCTCTCTTGGGGTTTCTATCATCTACATGAACTTGTTTTTAAGCTTGCTCTCTTCTGCTTCATCTGTGTTGGGATGTTCAGTTGTTGGTGGCATAGAGTCCCTAGACTCTGGTGTCATCATTTTGGTTTTTCTGTTGTTGGCTGTGTTCATATGTTGTAATCTTCCCATATCTTCTTCCAGGTGTTGCAGATGGTGTCTCCTCTTTTCCTGGTCTGTATGGATCCATTGTTCTCTTCCACTGGATGCAAGAGGGTCTGGTACTCTGATATGTCTCAACATGGGTGCAGGCAGATCTGAGGCACTCAGTCTCCAGGTGGGTGGGAGTGGGTCTAGCCCAGAGATGTCAGCAGACTCTGGGTTGCTTAGTATTCAGGGGCTGAGTCGCCCTACCTGCAGATTCCAGGACAGGAGTACCCAGAACAGGCAGGCAGAAGTTGGGCCCTAGTCAGGGGCCAAAGCAAGTCACCCCTTCCATGAGCGGGGGCTGGAGTAGCCCAGCAACCTCAGAAGATTCAGGGTTGCTTGGTCTTCAAGGGCCGAGGGACCTGCCTGCAGACCCAAGGACAGGAGTTACCAGAGTGGGCATGTGGAAGTCGGGAACAGAATATTAATGAGAGATTTTCTACATTATATTATTCTGTTGGCATGTCTGTAGAGGATTGTCTGATTTAAATTAATTGATCTAGACAGGCTCAGCGTACTGTATGAAATACTGAATCTAAGTCAAGATGGTCATGAGTTTACAGCTAGTATAAGTCACATATGACTAAGTACCAACATGCATATATATGTATATATATATATATATATGTTTATATAATGAAATATGTAATACAATTATATTCTTACATATATTCTTGTGTTTCTTTAGTTATGATTCTGACAATTCACAATGTATATAAGTCAAAAAATCAGTAACAATATATAAAATATGTAAAACATATATAATGTAAAATCCATATATGAATTTATGTTAGCTTATGGAATATGATATGTGCCAATTATTGAAATGCAAAGATATTATTTTTTTGAGCATGACAGCTCATATATATAACCCAACCTTTGTGAGGTCAGGGAGGAAGATTTGCTATGAATTTACAATATGAGACCTGTCTCTTCAAAAAAGAGAGAGAGAGAGAGAGAAACAGAGAGAGAGGAAGAGGAAAAGAACAAATAAGAAAGAACAAAGAAGGAGACGGTGACATTATTAACCATTATCCACATCCCATAGTAAGTTTCAGTTATTATTCAGTTATTATTTTGTGATAATGAGAAGGCTTTTTTCTTCACGTGGAACTTTTTAAAATATTTCTTTCAATGCCATCTGATTTAACAAAGTCAAATTTTAGCAAATTCTTTATCATATATCCAGTATGAAAAAATGTTGTGAATAATAGTGAAATTTGATAAAAGCCACTATAATTTAAGCTAATAAAATTTTATCAGATATTATGTATGAAGTTCTTCAGAGTCAGAGGAAATTAAACTATGTTCATCTTTCTTTTATCCCTTAAATAAAATTCTGGATGGTATGCTCTGAATTCAATTTGAAAGCCAACACTTTATCACAAATATTGTGCATGTTGAAACATAGCATTTCAAATGGGAACTAGATGTAAATTATAAATCTTAAATACACTGAAGAATGCCACTAACTTTTGGACAATATCTCTTTCAAAACATTCATCAGAGTGCAAATAAAAGAAAAGATGAAAGATACCTTATTAAACTGAAGTTATCCAAAACTGTTCTATGATAAAAAGTAAAGACCTCCTAAATATGTTACTGTGTTAGCTTACAAAATGGAATTGCTGTTCTGATGAACAAAATAAAGCAGTACCCAAAGAGAGGCTTATGCACACACAAGCAAAGCAAGTGATGAAGACTTGCATATCTACAAGATCCATTATAACAGTAAGGCCTTATTTTTATTTTAAATTCAAACTGCAATTAAGTTGTAATTCATTTATTTTATACTATGTTAGTGTGTGTTTTGCTTCAGTTTTCTCCACATTACACATATGTAAAGCTTTCCTTTTAAAAAATGCATTACTATGACTAGACAATGGAGGTCCTTGTGAGTCTTTTGTTTTGTTTACCTTTGGTAGCTATAGAAAGTTACACAGTCAACTTCCTTTCATAAAATAGCATAGTATCTGCCTAAATTTGCACACCTTCTATACACTGTAAATGGCAGCTGAGCTATTTATGTTGGGTGATACAACCTACATCCTGTATGAGCCTTTGAGTATTATATATTTTGGAAAACAAAGAAATCAGATTTATATGTGTCAAAGATGTATTCAAAATAAACCATATTTTAAGACAGTCTGAAGATCTGACTCATTGCTATTAACACAAGACAGCTGATATATTACACGAATAATCAAATCAGACAGCTGATATATTACAGAAATAATAAAATCAGAAATGAAGTTATGGAATTTTTAGAAGAACAATGTATGTTTATTTTCTATGATATATTCTCTAGGGATAAATGTTACCGAACTCCATTTAATATGATAAGAATTGTGATCATTCAAGGTAGCAGATTAAATAAAGCAGCGTACCTCTTCTTTGTGTGGGTTAATGTTACCAAATGTAATCTCTACACTAAAAGAATGCAACTACTTGGCAAAAAGGCTTATCAGAATACATTTTGTTTATATATTATTATAGCAACACATTCTGATTTAAAATATTTAGACTGTGAAAAGAACAAATAACAAGTAAAAATGAGGTAAGTTATTAGATTACTAAATTACTTTAAGGTAACTTCATATAAGTAACATTAAACAACATATATTACTGTATGACATTTGAAAGGTATACTTTATGTATTCCTGGTTTTGAGAATTGGTTAGGCAAAATAAGATATATATGCCAATATAATATTGAACTAATAAAAAAAGTCAATCCAAAGTTATACAATACAAAAGTAATAACAACAAAAAAAAGCTTATAAAACTACAAAATATTTAAAGGCTACAGTAGTTCTGATGATAAAAAAGTTATTAGTATTTGAATACAAACAAATGAAATATGAAATATACACTACAAAGCAAAGTGCTAAAAGAAAGCAATGTAAAAACCCTATTGATCTGGAGTAAATAAAGGAGTGAAAATACCATTCTGAAAACATATTAAGACAATTTTGTTAAATACCACTGCACTAAAGCTGAAAACTTTTTGCATGATGAAATGTAATTCAAAGATGAGGAAAAAATATGTCAAATCATTTACTTAGGAAGGAAGTGTGTAAAAATTTTATGAACAGCACTAAAAAATATAAGGTTGTCCCAGATAATAAAATAATTATGTACACAGATAATGATACATGACAGCAAATCACTGAAGACCGTTGAATGCTATTTCAAATGAATTCTATTACAGATATGTAAAATTAATTGACATTAATTAGTCACAATTAAATGAAATAAAATAATAACAATTATATGAAAGATAGTATTCATAATGCGACAAATAAGGTCAGTCCCACAGGAATAAGACAGACAAAAATGTTTTTTCCAATCCTATTTTATGATCATAATAAATCATTCTCTAGATACAAGAAATAAGTAGTAAAAGAAAAGATGAGCTGTGTCATAAAATGGAAACAGCTGGCCACACAGAAATAATATGACAGAGAATCTTTGTGACAATTAAACAATTTTGTATTTTGAATTCTGTGACACATTCATGTGCTAAAGATAAGTAGCTTAGGGCTGTGGATATAGGCACACACAGGTGAACCCCAAATGATGAATGCGATTATAATTAGATAACAGTGTTTGTGTGAGAGAGATATGTTTTAGCCATTTGTCTAAGTCATTTAATAAGAAGGACATATTTCTTTATTTGTTGACCACCAATACTTCATAAAAGATCCTAGTCAAACCATTATTTTACATTGCTAAAGTTTCAATTGACTCTAAAAAATGCTTTATCTCAAATATACATTTCAATGGCTCTAATTGTATTTAAGGGTTATGTGTGTGGCAAATTGTTTTTATTGTACAACTAAGTAGATACAAAATGGGTGAATTAAATTTACAGTTTCAGCACTTGATAGAACTGACCCATTCAGTGCAAAATAACTTTTGAACTGTAGGACTGATTTTATTAAGTTCATGCTATTTCCAGAGCTTGGTTTGTCACTTAGATGACTTTCCTCTCAAATAAGGTATAGTTTTCTAGTACAGATATCAAATAATTCTACTGCTGTGCTTCTCTTTATTGCTTATGCCAATCATGCAGCTGCAAATCTCTAATGAACTCATGGCTAATGCCTCTCACTTTGACACAATCCCAACACACATTTTTTTCCATCATGGTTCCTCAAAGAATTTTAGGATATTTAAATATTTGTAGATCACATCTACCTGTCTCAAATATCTTTAACCACGTGCACTAAACTTCACATCAAGTATTAAATGCTTTTTCACAAAGCATATGTATCTTTTACCTTAACATTCCTATGTTTCACAAGAATTAATATTATTTTATAATTTAATTTTAGTCTAACAATTTAGTCCTCAAAGACTGCACAATGTTAATAAACTTAAAAAAAAACTTTTTAATACCAACAAATAACCCCACTATAGAAGAATTCATTACAAAATACAGAAGGAAAATATATTGTAAAATTTAGTTGGAAAGGTAACAAATAGGGCAGCATTTTATTAATAAATTTAAGCATGAATTTGTCTCAGAAAAAGTTTTTAATATATAACTGATAATGCATATTTATTATTTTTAAAAATATTTTTATTTAATATGTATACATGTCTTGTCTATGTGTATGTCTGTGCAATGTGGCTATGAAGTGACCTCTCCAGGTCACTGGACTGAGAATTATAAGAAGTGAGGTGAGTTCTGAAAATAGAACCTGGGATCTCTGCATAAGTACTGAGCAATCTTTCCAGCCCCCATATCTAGTAATTTTAAAATTAGTCATATAAAGTACTCAAAAACCATATGAATGATAAAATTTGATTTTGATGACAGCAAAACAAAATCCATTTGAATGAAAAATACTGAAATGAACACATTATGAATAAAATCATATTGTGATTCAAAACACAAACATTCATTTTTGAAAAGTGTACACAGAAGACAAAAGATCCCTATTGAGGAAAGAAAATAAAGACAGAGAAGGCCCCATTATCTGTCGATCACTGCAAGAATTATTTATTGCATTATATTTTCTTTTCACTAAAAGATCTGTAGATTAGCTCTTGTTGCTGAAGCTTCTCTATTATTTGATAGAGCAATCATGAATAGCTCAATCTCTTGAATAGGTTCAAGAATTTCCCCCTTCATTTCCTTTGATGTATTCCCCCTGTTTCTTATCATTAAATTCAGATGAGGGAATTTTGAGAATGCAAATGTTCTCAAGGGGGAAAAAAGAAGCCTAAAGAATGTACCCATAAGTCCAAAGAAGTCATTATTTCTGTATTAGAACACCCTTTATATAAAAAATGCTATCTACAACTTCTAATTCCACTGTGAAAAATATGCATGAAATACAAAGATAGGCTTCTGGAAAAAGAAAAGATGAAGCAATATCACCCAAAAAAAAGGCATAAAGTAAACAGATGGACCCTCTTTTGAAGTTAAAAATCACATAAAAATGTATTTGCTTACTTTTGTTAACCACAAACATCTAGAGCTTCAATAGAACTTTGGTCACTGATTTTACTCTAGCTAGAATAGATTTCCTATCTGCAGAAAATAGTCTTAAATATAAACATGAAAATTTTAAAATGGGACTCATGTATTAAACTCCAACTGACACTTACTGTGGTCCAACCGACTTGTTGACCTAAGTCTGTAAAATAAAGTGTGACAATTGAGGAAGCTGCAACACTTTGAATAGTGATGTAGTCCTTCAAAAAGGGGCCACCTAAAACAAAGTAATGAAAAAAATAGTGTTTAAATATCATTTTATGGCACAGTATTAAAGAGTTTCTTAATATGAAACTGGTGACTAAGTATGAGAATTACGCAGTCATTATATAATATATGTGAACATTATAAAACATGAACCATTCCATTTGAATAATTTATGTACCAACTTTCCTCATACACAAAGTTTTCAAAAACGTTTCTGTGAAAATATACACTGTCTTCAGCTTTTATGAAAGGATGGAAGGGAGATGTCTTGAGAAATTTCCTATGAAAATTCAACTCAACCACCACTGGGCTCCAGCATTGTTGTATCCTAAACAGATAATATAGGGAGTGTGTGTGTGTGTGTGTGTGTGTGTGTGTGTGTGTCTGTAAATAGAGGTTGCTTTTAAATGTTATTTTTGCTAACTTATTAAATAACAATAGAGAGTGAATATAACATAGAAGACAATCTTTGATCAAAATGGTCATACTATGACAATAATGCATAAGATCATAGAATGTTTGTGAGATAAAAATTTGGATAAATTTTTGTGTCTTTAAAAGTACACTGAAAACATTTCTGACAGACTGCTATTAGGTTTTTTAATAAGGGGATCAATTTATATTCGTCTATTATCTTTGAAAACTTCAAATAAAAGAACATGGAATTTCTTGTTTTTTAATGCATTCCCACCAGTATGAAATTTTGCAAAGAACAAATGGAATACAATATAAATCATACCATTCTTGTGTATGCTTGTGTGTGTAAGGGAGATTTGTATGTGTGTGTATCCTTCTGTGCATGTGTGGGCAGAAGACAGATGTTGGCCTCAGTACCTTTCTTTCCTTGATTTTCCATCTCTCTTTTTGATCCTGGCTTTCCCTCAAGCTCCCAGAAGTCTCCCAACATTAATATCCTAAGACAGTGGATAGATTACACATACATGCACTCAATCTGCCTCTGATATTAGTGCTGAGGATATAAATTTGCATAACTAACTCTGTGCCCATTGGCCCATTTTCCCAGCACTAACCACTCATTCCACTCCCAAACTTAGGAAGCAGGAGCCCTGGTGTTGATAGAGTGTTAGACTCAAATGAGATGGTGTTTGCATTCATAGACTAAGTAATAAATGTGAGTTAGTGAGGTCAGATGCCAGATTCCAAATTAAATAAATTGATCGTACCATATTCTAGTTGTAGGCCAACTCTGGAAGGGTGCCACTTTGGACCTATACAGTGAAAAAGAACATTTAATCATTAGCAAATGTAGGAAATTACCTTTAAGATGTAGAGATTCTGATGGGAAAACAGGATCCCTACTGGAAAGGGAATAAATCACTCATTCTGTATCAAACATAGACGCAGTAATTTCTGCTGACAGGTTGCTGAATATCAGTGGTGGGTGGTACCTGCATGAAACTGTGATTGGACTATGAAGTTATGCTCAGATTATGATCATGTACCAATCCTTATGATCCCAGACAGGCAACATATGTTGTTTAATTACTTCTTCAATAAAAATGTATGACTTTTGAATTCCTTGGAAATTCCTCTAAATTTGGCATGTGAAAATATTCCATTGCTTTAGGGATAATGTGCTCTATCAGAGTAATTCACATAGTCTTTGGATCTCCATCAGAATGACATCTACAGAAATGATGTGCTGCATCCAAATGATATGAATGATTGACATAGACTATTGTCAATGTATTAATTATGGCAGGAATATCCATTTATATGTTCTTTTTGGACAAGTGATATAAATGAATACAATAATGTTTTCTTTATAAGAAATCCTGAGCATTTTATAAGATATTGCAGTTTTGAAAAAAATTATTTCAAAAATTCAATGTTTACCATATTCAATTATCTAAAATGTCTATTGGAGTAAATGCCAAACAATTCGATGCAACATGGACTAGTAAATTAATGGTAATTATATTTTCAAAAGAAATCTACATCATTATTTTCCCAAAAAATACATTTTAATTATCACTAACAATAAGAACTGAGTCAAATGTAGTGGAGCATTCTTTTCAAAAACAAGCCCAAACTTAATATTAATTATGAAAGCTTGACCTTTAGCTTAGGCTTGTTCCCAATTAGCTCTTATAGCTTAAGTTGACATACTTCTATTAATCTATGTTTTACTATGTGGCTTATATCTGTCTCCCATTTTGTACATCTGACTTTTGTAATAGTCATTTCCACAGGGAAAAATCCTAAGAAAGAATTTATATTCATATGTTAAATCTATATGAGTCTTATATACAGAATTTTGGGATACTAATACTAAGATTACAAATAAATACTGTGACACTTACCTCTTTTAGATAGTCTTCAGGTAAAGGCATCATATTTTATTTCAGTTTATGTATTAACATAGTTCCTATATTTATATTCATTTATAGTTTGTATTGTATGCTAGCATTGTTTATTGAAAAATAATTAAAGATAGCTTTCCTATCTTTGGATTGTACACACAAATAATAAAACAAAATACTACATAACACTCAATAGGTTTAATTGAGCTTGTGAGGATACTTGATATTGACCCAAATACAAGCCATTTGAGAATCCACTTATATTTGTCAGAAAGCAAGTTAACCCCTGGGGTAGTTGTATATAAACAGCCAGGATCTCTACATTTAAATAATATCCATTGAAAGCATCACTTTTCTTTTTTCACATGCAAATATGCCATTTAATGTTATGGAGTGTATAGGAAGGGCATGAATGAACACATCATTATATAAAACAAATACAGAAAACACTGTCATGTTTCAAGCCACATAGAGAAATAGTAATATAAAGTACCCAGTTCATTCTAGAGTTGTATTACCAAAAATATAGCCTAATACAGAATGTGCCCAATAAAGCAAAATAATTCATAATTCATCACAAGAAAATGAGCAAAGATAGGAAGGTACCAGCAATAAGGTGCAGTTTGACTGGAAACATTTGAGCAAAATAATGCTTCATAACTATTATGTCTTTTGTACTGCAGAATTATAATTAATGATATAAATGTTAAAAATAAATAAGGCTAGGATATTATTAAGACCCAATAGAAATATTTATTGCAAAGCTTTTCAGCTTATGGAATGAAACTGACTGAATGTACAGTAACTTTCTAAATTAAATAAAAATAATTGAAAATGAAATTGAAAGCCCATCATGATTTTGCCAGTTTCCAGGTGTGCTTCAAATGACATAGTGTTCAAAATCATCTTTCTAAGACAACTAAGTAAATTGAAAGCATAAAACAAGCATGAGCAGATCCTCATCAGACTAAAAGAGGGAAATTTTCCTGAAAACACGTTAATATAGACATATTGTACTCATATTAAATGAAAGTATGCATGAGTTCGGCACCTGCTTTGGGAGTTCAGAATTTGCAGTAAGATAAAAATGAGAGAATTCATAGAAAACCGGAAACCTGGTGATTAGAGTTGGTTCCATAGGCTGTTCCTGAAATGGAGCATATGTTCATCTGAAAAAGAAATGTTTAGAAATGAAAGCCATGCCTATCCAACCCCTCAAATCTTTAAATAAACCTGACAGGATTATTTAAGAAAATAGCTAGAAGGTTAATTGGAAGAAAGAAGGTTGTTTTTTGTTGTTGTTATTTTTTGGTTTGTTTCTTGCACATAATAAGAATGTCTTCAAATTGAAAGTAGTAGCAATTAGGTGTTTTCATTGATGTGTGTCATATGTTTGTTTGTGTTTAATGTATAGTTACATTCTAGATTAAATCAAAATAAGTGGAAATGTGATTGAAAACCCTTCATGAGCTTGACAGTTTCCAGGTGTTTCAAATAACATCCTATTCAAGATAATCTTTCTAAAACAACTAAATAAATTGAGAACATAAAGCAATCATGTTATTGAAGTCTCAGCAGAATAAAGAAAGAAGTTTTTCTACATGTACACGATAATAGACATATCATATTCATATTAAAATGAAAGTACATATGTACATAATGTACGCATATGATAACTTGGTTTCCAGTTACATCTAAAATTAACTAAAATCAAATTTCCTGGGTACACATGTGAGGAAATTTTCTTAATTTAAAACTTTAAATTGGAAGACCCACCTTTAATATGAATCTTTTGAGGTGGAATGATTCACCTTTAATCTTGAAGAGTTGAAGAAAATGTTAAAGAACAAAGATAAAAAACTATGTTGTTCGCAGGATGTGGTAGTTTGAATGTAATTGTCCTCAGAATCTCATAGGGAGTGGCATTATTAGGAGCTATGGCTTTGGTGGAGTTGTTTGAGGAAGTGTGTCACTGTGGGTATGGGCTTTGAGGTTTCCTATGCTCAGGATACTGCACAGTGCTTCAGTCAGGTTCTTTTTGCCAATAAGATGTAGGACTTGAAGCTCTAACATCATATCTGTCTGCAGGCCACCATGCTCCTTGCCATGATGATAATGTACCTAACCTCTAAATTGTAAGCAGGAAACCTCAATTAAATATTTTATTTATAAGAGTTGCTGTAGTCCTGGTGTCTCTTCACAGCAATGAAAATCATAACACATAACTTTGCACTAGGAGTTGGCTATTGTGGTGATATCCTGGACCATGTGTTTATTTGGAGGAATTTTGACTTTTTTGTTTTGGGTTATGAAAGCAGTGGAATGCTTTAAGCATTGCTTAATGGGCCTTATGTGTAGGAACATAGAAGACAGGGGCGCTAAGAGATATTTGAACTATCAGGGAGTCACTCAAGTGGTTTCAGAGCAAAAAAAGTTAATATATTGCCTATAGATCACCCCCTGTGATATTTTGGTGAAGAAAGTGGTTGCTTTTTGCCCTTGTCTGAAGAGTCTGCATGAGACCAAAGCAAAGGTGCAGATTAATCCCATTGACAGAACAATATCAAAATGTCCCGTTATAAACTCTATCCTGTGGATATTTTTGATAACTCTAGTGGAGATTTATAATGAAAAGGAGCAAGATAAGCAGGGTAAATTACAAAATGTAAGTTTTGAAGAGAAAAAGAGCACCAGTATGTAGAATGGAGCTGCATCCTTTGTCCAAGGAGAGCAAAAGATAAAGAAATATAATAAAGCGGGCAGTGACCTCAGAGAAGGATCCCACTCAGCTAAGTTTCCAACTTCTGAAAAGTAAAGAAAGAAAGGTTTATAGACAGTTATGGTAGGGCAAACCATTAGTCTCTCCACTGGGAAGGTAGATGCTGGCAGATTTCTGAGTTTCAGGCCAACCTGTTCTGCAGAATAAGTTCAGGACAGCCATGCTTAGGCAACCAGGGAGACAAAGCTCATGAAGATGTACTTGAACAAGGAGGCTCTGTTCCAGCTCCAGTAAAAAGCAGAATTTGGCAGATTTAGCCAAATGGCTATGGTTTTAAAGTTGAAGATAGAAGAAACATATTATGGAATTTATCCCCATGCCTAAAGAAAGATGTTTAGGCCGGGCATATGACAGGAGTTTTCCTTATTGGAGGCCAAGTAGAGAAGCCATTGGGGGAAGCTATGAAACGAAGCTTGAGGAACCCAAAATGTTAGAGATGCCAGAGTTGTGGGATATCTGCCAAAGAAAGCTTGCAACAGGAAGTGGAAACAGCCCAAGAGAATGAAGGACATTGTAATCAACAAAGTTGAAAAAAGTTGGGTATCTGAAGAGCATTTGCACATGAGACATGAAGATAAAGAGTTTGGAGTTCACCCAGCTGGTTTTCAGTCTTGCTTTGGTACAGTATTTCCTCACTATGTTCCCTTTCCTATATTTTGTAATGGTAATGCATTTCCTGTGCTATTACATGTTAGAAGCATGAGATCTGTTTTTTTTTTAAATAGGGGATTAGAATTTGATTATATGAATCTTAGAAAAGACTTTGAACTTTGGATATTTAAACATTGTTGATACTGTGATAGCTTTTGGGAACTTTTGAAGTTGGACTAAATACATTTTTCATAATGATATTCTTATAAGTTTATGGGGGCCAGGCATTGGAATGTGGTCATTTCAATGTAATTGGCCCCTATAATCTCTTAGGGAGTGTCACTATTAAGAGCTGTGGCTTTGTTGAAGTGTGTTTAGCTTTTGTTGTAGAAAGTAAGCCACTGTGGGGCTGGTCTTTGAAATTTTCTGTGCTCATATTTTGCATTATGATATTGTTACAAGTTTATGGGGGCCAGGCAGTGGAATGTGGTTGTTTAAATGTAATTGGCCCTGGTAATCTCATAGGGAGTGGCAC